ACCATCTCTTTAATGAATAGTTATTGACATCCATTAAAAAGTTTCGAAACTTTGAATTCGAGAATCGATTTTTGTAAAATTTGGTGTTGTTGCAAATGATTGAAAATATCCTCTGAAGTTTATACCTCGCTTTTGAGACAATTTGATGAAAATTCAAGGTGATTTTAGTTAGAATTTCAGATTGAAACTCGAAAAATAAGACATAAATAAATTGTATATATTTTGTATATCAGATGTAGAAATGACATACAAAATATATATAACTAATATAATCGTATACGATTTGTATATAAATTGTATGTAAATTGTAGTTTTCGACTGATTCTGTAAAAAGAAATTGTACTCAAGTTGTAAATAAATTGTAGATCTTGGCCGGATTTGTGTATATTTTATAAAAAATTATAGTTACTTTCTATAAATAGAAAAATACAGATAACCAAATAAATTAGTTTAAAATTTTGTATTTATACGAAAAAGTCCGACACAATACGGTAACTATTTGGGTTAACTTTTGACACATTGTTTGCCATTTCTTACTGCCAATTTTGCCATGTTCATCAACCAACGGTTTTGTTTAACGAAATTGGTTAGTTTCATCAATTTGAAGTTCTTCCCTGAAAAATTTTCTTTTTGTATAATCATCTGTGTCTCTACTAAGGGTGTTAAACGGGTGGGCCGGGCGGGTAGGGAAAAGTTAAAACTGTTCGGGTTTCGAAGTCGGGCCGGTTACGGGTTAAGGATTACCGGGCTTAACGGGTTCAGCTCTATCTGGGTAAAAGATGAACCGTAAGGGTTACAGGTCCAAGGGGCCGGGCCGGACTGGGTTAGAGTAATTTTTTTTTTTTTGGTACTTTGTATAGCTATTGTAAGTTATATTAATATAACGTAAAAATATAAAGAATACAATGAAGATGGGAAAAAAATTGCATTTATAAATTACAAGTGTTTTTTTTATATTTCAAACTTACAAATTGAAGTTTGCATTTAACAACAAGTAAATTAACGAAAAAGATTAAAACTAAATTTTCATGCATAATAATACTTCAAATTAATCTAAAAAACTAAAAACATTAAGCATAAATACGTCTAATAATTTTAAAATAACACAAATTGTCTCAAATCAACTTAAATACGAATTTCTGAAGGACGCTCAAGACAACTCTTCATATGCCTCCTTAAACAGCCTGTGCCCACCCACTTTAGACGAAGATTTAAGACTCGACCACAGTTCTTGCACTTTACTTTGTGAACTTCTTCATTTTCTTCTACCACCTCAAAGTGTTCCCAAACATATGAGCACACTCTAGAAGTACGGGGCATGATTTAACTTGAATTGAGAATTTGAGTTTGAGAAATGAGAGATGAGTGAAGAAATGAAGAGGGGGGGGGGGTGTATTTATAGTTTTTTAAAGGGCTAAATTAGTAATTACAAAAAGTGTTAAATTTAAAAGTAAATGGCCCAAAAAAGGGCTATTTGTGCAAAACAGTCGTTGGGCAACGACCCCTTGGCCCAGCTGACCGTTGCCAACGTTAACAATCATTTAAAAAAAAAAGTTGAAACAACTAGTCGTTAACCGGTCCGGGCTGGGCCCGTTAACCAGTTGAATAGTGAATCTCGTTGACCGGATTTGACCGGGCCGATTAATCGGTTGAACGAAGGTGAACGGACCAACCCCCTTACCCCATTAACCCAGTCCACCCTGCCCCCTTTGTACCGGTCCGGGCTGGGCCGATCCGGAAACGGGTTGACCCGACTCGTTAGACACTCTTAATCTCTACTCTATCATAATCTATACTATATTAAAAGCACGAAAGCCCTTAGCGAAATGTCGTTCGCCTTTTTTACCCTTAAAAAATAGAGCTCACATTAGATAAAATAGTCATTTAATTATTCTTTTAATATTTAAGATTTTAAAATTAACTAAAATTTGAGTTATTAAAGTTTTCCTTATTAGAAATTGGTAATATACCAGATTTCTAAAAGGAAAAAAATAACACGTTAGTTTTCCTAATTACAGTAAGTCACGTTAGTTTTCCTGTTAGGAAACTTTGGAGCACTTTGAGTTCCTTTTAGGTTTAGGAGTTTTTATTTGTTATTTAATTTTAACCAATTAATTATTTATAAATATATTAGTTAAAACTTTCAACCACTTCTCAAATTATCATTTTGATTTATAATTCATAATTAATGTAACAATGCCGTTGGATAAAAAAAAGGTAGAAGAATTAGATTCTATAGGCTTAGGATTCAACAATTAATCTAGCACTTTAAAACTAAAGTAATTTAGAATTAGGAGTTGAATACTTTTATAAAAGAGCGAGCATTTATTGTCACTGGCACTTTCATACTACTCTCCTTTATACATAGAGGCTCCGTAGACATATTGTGAGTCGTGTTCGATTTGGGTTAATGAACTATAAATGTGGTAGTTGTCAAACATGTTTTCTCTCACAACTATGAACTCGTAATATTTTGAGAATTGCAAATGAAGCTTCTATAAGTAATGAAAAAAGGACGTGGTACACTTTACTCTTCTCATGTCTAATTCATGTTAGTGATTCTTAAATTGATCATGGGTAAGGTTCGGTAGAAGGCACCAAGTAGTCTTGCTTGACTGGGATGTGTCGGTCGAGCGTCGGTCGCGCTCCCCAAGGTCGGGGCATGACAAACTTGTTCTTAAGAATGTCATTATTTGCGGAGATAACTCGCTTTTGAGATAGATTTTCTAACCTTTAATTTTTTCTTCAAGTTATATAATAACTTGACAACTGTGAATTAAAAAGTTATCAACTGTGATTTTTGTTTATCATATCTCATATACTATTATCAGTTTAATTTTTTGTTTATCATATCTCATATACTATTATCAGTTTAAAGATTGACGTATTTAGAAATTTTATAGAGATTGTTAGAGTAATTGCATTCTGTACCAGAAAATTGATTATGCATTCTAACTCTCAATTAAAGATCTTATTGAATAATTGTGTTAATTAAATAACAGAAATTGACAATAGACGTCCTTGCATGTAGCCAGATTTTTGACAATTTCATCTGCTTAGGCAAATTATTTTTATTATCTCACGAAAAATGATTATTCCCGTTTGGACTATTTTCTCATTCGTCATCATAAATATTTCACGGTATTTAAAGTGTGGTGCAATATTTTTCCATCTCACTTATAATATAAAATTTTACTAATTAATATAATTACCTTGCGCACGAAAATAATTTACAATATTTTGTTTTGAAAGTTATATCCCATTTATTGAATTTAGACAGTTGTAGATAAACTACTCATAAAAAAAAGTTGGGTATATCGTGCTGTAAGGAATTAAATTTTCTAATATGCTCAATCTTTATTTTTAGTTCAAATTTTTCTTTTGAATCTAAATTTGATATTAATATAAAAATCTGTAAATAAATTGTACTTAAATACTGGGCAAATTCTAAAGAATAATGAAGTATGTCATCTAACTCATGTGAACTAATTACAACATATTGTAATATTGATGCATAAACTAATATATTTTCGTAAATGTTCAATCCTTATTATAATGAAAAAAATTACTTATTATGAGTTCAAGTCTATATTCAAAAATTATTTTTGATATAATATTCTATGCATTTTTATTGATAGACACAAAATTCACGTGCAACGCACGTATACTAAAACTAATAAGAAAATAAGTTTATAACCCCGTCACGAACGCAACTCAAATTTTTGTTATATTGTAAAACTAATATGCAAAATTTGTCACTCTGTTTTAACTAACAGAAAATTTTGCATTTAAATTACCACTCTATCATTTAAATTTTAGTATTTCAAAGTGGTAAAAGGATCTTAATAACCTAACATTTTCATAGCATTGTTAATTCTCGGCACAAGATTTAAAATTTTGACCTCTTTCTTAAAATGAATCCACGATCTAATGAAAGTTTCTTCTGAAAAAAAAAAGTGAAAATTTCTCATTATACTCGCATAGAGATCCGAAACCTCAAAAAAAAAAAACAAATTGACGTGTCACCTTTCCAAATATAAAAATATAAAAATATAAAGTTTGAAACTTGCGTGCCAGTGATAAAAAGCATGAAAGTTTTGGGGGAAAAAATATGTACTAAAATAATGAAAGGACCCACCCAACGTATTAACTTCTGCGATTTTTCCATTTGGCGGTCCACACGCACAAAAAACCCAATAGAGGATTAAGTCAAATTATTTTAATAAGTCTTTTGGGGTTTATGAATCTCTAAAAACCCTGAGGGTAGCTCAACTGGTAAAGGCCTGAGGCCAAAGTCCTTTAGATCGTCAGTTCGAGCCCCCGCAGGGTCACTGGAGGCATTATAAATCGGCCGCGTTTCCAGGGCCCCGTGGAACTAACCGTGGTGCACGCATTGAAACCACGGTAAAAAAAAAAATAAAAAATAAAAATCTCTCAAAAAGAAAAATAAACCCAAACCTCTTTCTTTGACTCCTCGTTTGAATTTGCGAATAGAACTTATCATAATTTTATAAAAATAATAAGTACTCCACCATCTTAGAGGCGAATTCAAGATTTAAACCTTATGAGTTTAAATTTTGAGATTTTTAGCATTGATCCCATCATAATCTAAAGTTATGAACATATATATTATTTTTGTAATTTTAATAAATTTTTATGTATAAATATTTACTTTGCGTCGAAGGTTATGGATTCAAGTGAACCCGTCGGTAGAATACTATATCCGCCCCTACACCAGCTTTATCCTTATTTATGTGACAATATTAATTGAGTATTATATTTAAAAAAGATAATTCTTTTTTGAAATTTAAGATATATACTAAATTATAAATGTTTGTATAATTATAAATCTTCGTTTTTAAGAATAAAATAAAAAGATTAAAATTGAATTATTTTTACATTTAAAAACGTCATTAAAATACTTTTATAAATTGCAAATGTAATTTAAACTTAAACACAATAGTATCGCTTTGACCAAAGTCCATGTTTAGGCATATAAGTTTTAAAAGAGAGTATTTTTAAACGTCTCTCCAATAGCGTACATTTGCTCTGTACATAATTTTTTCTTTTTCTTCTTTTCAAGCTTGATTCCGTGAGTAAATAGAGTTTGAAAAAATCATCAATTTTTAAAATCATTAATAACAATTGCTTCAATATACACGGATAAATGCTTGAATGGGGGGGATTCTGACTTCTGAAGAAAAAGTAAAAAAAGATTCTTTTTGGATTGAAAAAAGAAATCAAAAGGGGCAATAAAAGGAATAATCTTTAGCTAATTGATCTGGGTACTTTTTCTTTTTGCTAATTGTTGCAGATTCTTGGGCTCTTTTGGTTCAAGGTGAGTTATTTATCTCTTTTTATTTGTTTAATCTGAATGTTATGTTTTTGATTGTTAAAATGGACATATTGAGCTGGAAGAATCTAACTTTTTTTTGGGTTCATAGCTGCTTGCTTATAAATACTTTGTTCTTATGAATAAGATATTTTTCTTGTGTTTCCTGCAAATTTTAGAAAATCTCTTTTGAATTCTTGAGTTTTAAGCTCCTTTTTTTGGTATGGGTGGTAGGTGATTTTGTCTCTTTCTTATATGATCTGTTGGTTTTTAGTTTACTTACATATTCAAAGTTAATTCATCAAAAAATGAAAGGAATGAATGCTATATTGATGTTATCTCCATGTTTTGATTCATTTTAGTTGAGTTAGATGTTTGTGGTCTGATCACCAATGTGATCGAAAAACCAAAGGTGTTAGTTGGTTTATATGAGAAAATTGAAAGCATAGGCATTTTCCCAAATTTGCGTTCACATTGGCACGCCATGAATTTCGGCTAAGTGGAGAGATGAATAAGTTCCTTATTGTGTGTCATGACTGGCAGCTCAAATGTTGAGCTGGATATTTAAGTGTTGAAAATTTATTTTGTTATATATATATATATATATACATACATTGGCACTATATTCATGTGTTCCTGCAGGTAAAACCATTGCTGACAATGAGCCACTAGCATTTCACTTAATGGGCTGGCTGAGCAAAATTTTCAAAGGTTCCAACCATAAAGTTTCGGAAGGCCAATATGACTGGAGATGTGAAGGACATAAAGAAGAGGATCACCAATCTACACCTGGGGTAAGTGTTGCGCTAAACTGGTGTGCAATGAGCTCATCATCCAGATAGACTAGCGTCCACCTGACATACCTTTGAATTGTTTACTTTATTTCTGATATCGTTCAAAGTATTTGGGAATTCATATTACCAAACTTAGCAAGTGTAAGGGCTTATAATTATCAGCTTAATAGGTAATGTGGCTTATATTTTACTGGTGCTGTTCATGGCAAAAGGCAGGGGTGTTTGCTTGATTCTAAGTTTATAAGTCCAACAACAACAACAAACCCAATGTAATCCCACATAGTGGAGTCTGGGGAGGGTAGTATGCAGACCTTACCCTACCTCGTGGAGATAGAGAGGCGGTTTCCAATAGACCCTCGGCTCATCAAAGCATAAGTTTATAAGTCACTTACTTGAATACTAAAAGTCCATTCTATAGTCTAGGGTGACATTTGTCTAAGCGCTAACAGGCCGTACAGTCTTAACTTGCCATAGGCAATGTGAAGAAGGCTTTGAAATAGTATGCTTCTAATGAAGTTGTTGAAGCTGAGTTAGATGTGAGCTTTCTGTGGACATTATGAATCCAATGCCCCATTTGGTAATCGTTTTGGCTCATGCAAATTAGTGACTGCTCTTCTTGGCTTCTATGATGAGTGATTGGACGGATGCTTTTGATGAGATTGATTTATCTAATTTGCTTGTTGTTGCATGGTCATTTGAAGCTTGTATTTTATTTTGACCTTTGTAACTTGACATCTTTGTCCATCCCTGCTTGTAGCCTTGCACTGTCTTGTTCTCTTATTAATAAAATTCATTTCTACTAGAAGTCCTTCATATTGATATTAATCTCAAAAAAACAAAAAAGTCGCATTGTATTCTGAATCTGGATAAAGTGAATTGATGTACATGATTTACAATGTGTTATAATTTAGACCTGCTTAAACATGAATCCATGATAATCCACCATGTTGATATGCTAATTTTTCATCAAAATTTTGTTCACTGGATTTTGTAACTATTAAGTCACTAAAAAGTGTAGCACCAACTTTATACACATCCCTGATACTTTATTTTGTGCTAAATTTGGTTGTTATCTTGTAATGTATGTTACTTCCCATTGCCAATAAATGATCGATATCCACTCCGAACTATAAAAGATCATTTGAACATGTCATATTTATACCGTGTCTATATTTTCTTTTTTTGATAAGCATATCGTGTTGATATTCTATCCTGTGTTTGAACCGTTTGTGTGCTCTAGGACTCTTGGTCAGAGACTGAAGAAATAGACCGAGCTATTGCAATCTCGCTCTCAGAGGAGGACCAGAAAGGGAAACCTGTGGTTGGTGAGTATTAGTTGCTTCTTAAAGAAATGAAAATTGAAAGTTTGCATTCCTTTTGAGGTCTCTCCTATGCTCTCATAATCAAAAGCATGATATCCCAGTTCAGTCGAGTTAACTGCTGACATAATTTGGAACCCAAACTTTCCATTATGTGTTTCAAGGCTACTGAGTACGTCCATAGATGCATAGTTTAGCTCATCCATAGTATAGTGCTTTTGTTCTATAGACATACTTCTTATTCTATGAAGAGTCGAACTTCTTTATGTTAGCTCAGCTATTAGAGTCGACTCAAGCATTCCATGGATGATTTTGAGAACTAGCTGCGCGAGTTTATTTACTTGGCGAAAAAATTTGTTTTGCTTGATTTTGCTAATTGTTCCTTTTCTTTGATGTTTGCCAGACAGTGAATCACAACTCAAAGAAGATGAACAACTTGCCAGAGCTCTGCAGGAAAGCTTGAATGTCGAATCTCCACCTCAGCATATAAGCAGAAATGATCTTGGAAGTGGGAATGGATATGGTAATAGGCATGTAAGCAGAAATGATATCGGAAGCGGGAATGGATATGGAAATGGAAACTTCTATCATCCAATACCTTTCCCATATTCTGCAAGCTTTAGGTATTCGAAATCTTTGTCAATGTTTTAAAAACATTTAAACTCCAGAATACACCACTGCCAAACCTCATCTTACTGCGTGTCTTGGGGCTCCATCATCTCCATTCTTGCAGTGATTTATTAGTCTATATTTTTTTGTTAAATTTCCTTTGAAGTCAGCTAATATGTACAGTGGAAGAGCTAGGTGGAAAATCCAAAAGTAAAATGGACGTATCTTGAAAGCGTGTGGTTTAGGTGGTTAAAGTTGCAGTTGCTGCTATTAATTACCATAAATATAAAACCCTAGATATTTTACGTGTTTCCTTTTTGATCAACATGATTTCTTTTCTCTCTTTTTCTTTTCACCTTCTAAATTTAGTTGTAGGTGTCATTATGTAGAAATTTATATTATCAGTTTGAGGAACAAAACGTTTTAATTTTGACCCTTTGAAAAGGATCAATCTTTGGTTATGTCTTTTGCCTTTAGTTGTGGATGGCATGGTGAGAGGCAAGAGAAGGGAGGTATAATTCCATTGATTTTGTCGTCACTGTATTCTAACCTATTCTCCAGTCTTTCCTAGCTTTACTCTCTCCTTCATGCGTATACTTGTGTCACTGTATGGCTGAATTCGATAGTGGTCTGTAAGAATTCTAAAGTGAGCCTATGGATTTCATTGAACATTCTGAATTCATCGTATAAGCAAATACAGAAGTTAGTTATAAGACATTAAGAGGTTGTTTGGCAGAGTGCATAAGAGAAAATAATGCATGCATTAGCTTTGTGTATTAGTAATACCTTATTTGGTACACTTTTTCAACCTATGTATAACTAATACAAGCATTAGTTATACATCCTATTTGGTATTATCCTATGTATAGCTAATGCATAGCAAACCATGGTATTAGTAATACCAAGGCTATTAATGCATGCATTAGCATGATTAAAGACAAATTGTCCTTAAAGTCCCTTAAAGCTAAAGAATATAGAGGGCATTTTTGTAAACAACTAATTTTTTTAAAAATTATGCAATGCGTTTTAGTTTTTAATACACCACACCAAATAGTGTATAAAAAATAATCTCTGCATAACTAATGCTTGCATTACTAATACACTCTATTCAGCATTATTCTTATACACCCTACCAAATGACCCCTAAAAATTGAATCAACATCTTTTAGACATAACACATACTATCTTTTTCTGTGGTAGGGTATGTGCAGGTTGTAGCACTGAAATAGGTCATGGACGGTTTTTGAGTTGCATGGGAGCCGTATGGCATCCAGAATGTTTTAGATGCCATGCCTGTAACCAACCAATATCTGATTACGAGGTGAAGTACTGTGTAATTTTTTAATTTCCTAGTTCAGCCGTGTTATTGTGGTGTCTACTGTTTTTGTTTTTCCAACTGTTTTCACAAAAAAGGTGCCAAGTCAAAGCATGACATTTTACAACAACAACAACAACAACAACTACCCAGTAAAATCCCACCAGGTGGGGTCTGGGGAGGGTAATGTGTACGCAGACCTTACCCCTACCCGATAGGGCAGAGAGGCTGTTTCCGATAGACCCTCGGCTCAGAAAAACGGAAAATAAAAAAAAAAAAAACAAAAAAAAACAAGAAAACAAGAAAAACAAGAAAACAAAAAAAAAGCATGACATTTTGGTTTTGGAAATTTCGGCAACCAAACAAGAATTGAATACTTTAAGGCGTGAAAAAGGTGCCACCGAGGGTGGGGTTTTGGGGGGGGGGGGGGAGCAGATATGCACTATAGATTACTACACACCTACTTACGAAGCAGTCATTTACAAAGTATATGACTTATTATAAAATGCTATTTTGGAAAATGCCTGACCATCAGAAAGCAATGTGCTCATTATTAAAATAAGAGAAGCGATAGGAATCAATTTTTGGAAAATCCAATGGCAAGATAATAGTTTTTTGTAATATACATGCATCGTCCATAAGGTATCCAATACATTCTATAACTGAGTACTGATATTGTTGTTGGTAGTTATCATATAGTGTCTTGGGTAATGAACATAAACTGGCGATCATCTGTGAAGCGATAGAACATTTTAGATGACAAGTATATTCATGAAATCTATTTAACTTTTGGATGTATTAACTGTGCAGTTCTCAATGTCTGGGAACTATCCCTATCACAAAACATGCTACAAGGAGCATTATCACCCCAAATGTGATGTCTGCAAACACTTTGTAAGTATGAAATGATTGTCATTAGCTGCTGCGGCAATAAACACCGGTTTCTGCCCATTTATAGTATTTCCTTATTGCTTGATTAATGTCGATGAGGTTGTACATAGACTATTCTAAGTAATCCTTAAAATAACTGTAGAAAAGAAAAATCTTGATTATGATCCTAAGTTTCTATCCTACCAAATTTCTGAAGTTCTGTCTTTTCTAGTCTTGAAATCATGGTCTGTTCTGCCTTTTCTACTGTAAATGTCATGGGTCTGTATAGTTAAATTATGGGTCTTCCTAGTGTAATAGGTGTGTGGTAGGTCTCTCAGCATTTCAACTAGTAAGATCATTGAGGTAATCTAGCAACCTGAGAATCATTTTACGAAATTTTCTGTTTTGACCTCTTATTACAGTAACTTTGGTATTGGCTATCTCTTGTCGGTTAAGAAACCTCTAGCTGCTGAAAATGCATCATTTCTTTAATATTCGTGTTTCCTACCTGTCCAGATTCCAACAAATGCAGCTGGTCTTATTGAATACAGAGCACATCCATTTTGGTCTCAGAAGTATTGTCCTTTTCATGAGCATGATGGTACACCCCGTTGCTGTAGCTGCGAGCGAATGGAGGTAAGGCTGATGAAACAGAACAGCCAAATCCGTGTAATTAACTTTTAATAAAGAGTAGCAATTTTGGTTTGCATGCAGCCACGGGATACTAGATATATTGCCCTTGATGATGGTAGAAAGCTTTGTCTCGAGTGCTTGGACTCTGCCATAATGGATACGAGTCAGTGTCAACCCCTTTATTATGATATACAAGAATTCTATGAAGGGCTAAATATGAAAGTGGAACAGAAAGTTCCTCTGCTTCTGGTTGAGAGGCAAGCACTGAATGAGGCTATGGATGGAGAGAGACATGTAAGTTTTTATGTTGCCGAATTTCTTCCCTTTCATACTTGTATTTCTCCATATTGTTTCTGGAGTGAAAAATATGTCGCTTTATGTTTGGTTTTCATCCCTTTTGCTAGGGGTATCACCACATGCCTGAGACAAGAGGACTTTGCCTTTCTGAGGAACAAACTATCAGCACTGTAAGAACTTTAAGTGATTTCCATTTATTCTCTCTCTTCGTGGTTTTGAAAAATGAAAACTTAAATTTCTTTTTGTTCAAATGGTAAACGAAAGCTCTTACTTACCTCTAAAATTGGCAGATTCTGAGGCGGCCAAGAATAGGAGCTGGAAATCGGGTCATGGACATGAGAACGGAACCTTATAAATTGACACGCCGCTGTGAAGTGACTGCAATTCTTATCTTATACGGTCTACCTAGGTACTGTTTTGTTACTTTGCTCTTCGAAGTTGTGCACCGGAATGCTACCGTTTTAACATTCTGTTTTAACAATCCTGTTTGGTTAGTCAGAATCACCTGTGTCCTTTCAGTATATCTCAAGAGATAAAAAACAAATCAAAATTATTTTTGTGTTGATGATGCACTGCAAAGTAGGCATTAAGCAAAGGAAAAATAGAATGTCCCTTACTAGGGTTGTCGAAAAAGTTGAATAGATTGTATGTTACTTTCGATTTATGACATACATCTATGCAGGTTGCTGACTGGGTCGATCCTTGCGCATGAGATGATGCATGCATGGCTTCGACTAAGAGGTGCATTCTCATTTCTAGTTCTTCCTTCCTAATTTGCGTGCCCATCTTTTTCTTTTTGGTCTGCCCCTAATATAATGGCTGCTTCTCTAGAATAGTAGTGAATCTCAGTATTACATAACACGTAATAACGCACGATTCTATTGTGGAACCACTTTTTCCTCTCCCATCCCCCTCTCACTTTTTTCAGTAGTGTATATATCTTGGATTCTCTGCTACAACTCATTAGAATCATTTTGTTTATTTACCCTTTAAATTTCTTCCCACTTCCAATAAAAGAAAAAAGTACTAAAAAAGAAGAGATGCAGTAAACAGAAGTGATAATTAAGATAAGTGTGATCGTATTTCAGTGGAGCTCAAATATTAAAAAGAGAAAAATGCAGGTAGACAGTCTGAGATTGAATGTAACAGGGATATTTTTCTGGATAAAATGGGAAGTAATCATCAATGGCATAAAAAAGAACAAGATTAAAAGAAAGACAAAAAACACAAGAACAACAACTACAATAACAACTACGCCTCAGTCCCAAACAAATTGGGTCAGCAAGAAACATATAAAGCCTAAAATTCAAAAAAAGTTATGTATTACAAGTTCTTTCGGCGTGGAATGTGTAAAACATTAAGTACAAGGAAATACTCTCACTGGACCATCTAAAATCTTTCTGCCCATATTGGAATGCTCCTTTCCTTTTTTTTGAGTTTGTCTATCCCGATAGCTGTGCAATTTATTGCTTACGATTATTGGCTGCAGTAGCTATTATATGTGGTCTCCTGGAGTTTCTGATGTGGTCGATATTGTCCTATATTATAGGTTATCGAACTCTTAGCCAAGATGTTGAAGAAGGTATTTGCCAAGTACTAGCACATATGTGGTTAGAAACCCAAATTGCATCCATATCAAGCAGAAATGGTGCTTCAACTTCATCAGGCATGTCATCGTCGAAGCAGGGGATTAGATCTCCTTTTGAGAGGAAACTCGGGGATTTTTTCAAACACCAGATTGAATCAGACACGTCGCCAATTTATGGAAATGGCTTCAGAGCTGGTAACCAAGCAGTGCTTAAATACGGACTAGAAAGGACGTTGGATCATATTCGGATGACAGGAACATTTCCTTTTTGAAACATTGAGCTTAAGGTTAGAAAGCAGACTCCATTCATGTGTCAAGAAAGAAGGTTGGTCCATTCATATTAGTGCCTTGGACCATGCCATATTATTATTATTATACCTTAGAAGTTCAGGAAAGATATAATTTTCAGTACCTTCTGTAGAGTGATCTCAACACGACAAACAAGGATAGACACAAAACAAAAATCCATTCTTTTAGAAAATTAATGAAGTCTTGTAAGTTTGATTTCCTTTGTTGCATTATGCCCTTAATATAGTAATATTAAAAGACCACAGTGAAAAGGGGATCGCCCAATGCTAACACAGGTGACTAGGAGTGGCAAACGGGCGGATCGGGTCGGATATGTGATGGGTCAAAAACGGGTAATGAAAAAAACGGATAAATTATCCGACCCAACCCATATTTAATATAAATAAAAAACGGGTTGACTGATGGATAATATGGTGAAATTGAATATGATCACTTTGAGGCTTTACAAATGTAAAAGTTAAATCCATTAATTATCCATTGGTTATCCATTTTTTAAATGGATAATATGGTTCTTATCCATATTTGATCCGTTTTTAAAAAGTTTGTTATCCAACCCATTTTTAGTGGGATAATATGGGTGGTTAACTGTTTTTTAACCATTTTGCCACCACTACAGGTGATGTACCCTACCGCTAGGATGTAAATGAGCTCCTTTGACTTTCTTTTCTTAAAGGCAGTAAAACAGGACTACAGAGAAACCTACGATTTACAACAAACAAAAGCCAGCATCCACATCCACCCATGACCGTTAGGTCCTGGGTTCGAGCCACGTTGGAGGGGAAGTGTGGAAAAACTATAGATTCTCCTAAATTGGAAGGGGTATTTGTTTTTTTTAAAAAAAAGCCAGCAGCATCTCCATCTATGTTAAACTCATAGATTGATCGGATTTGATGAAGCCATGGTTAGGGTTTTAGAGAGAGAAACGAGAGCAAAACGAGTAGAAAAAACCTTATATTGAAATTATGCAAAAGTTGTCTAGAATATTCTCTAAGGCCTATTTATATAGTGGGCCTATTATTATAAAGAATATAATTGAACCGGATCAATTAAATAAAGAGAATGGGCCTGTGGCCAACTAGCTAGACCATCGACTATCTGCAGCCCAAATATGTCCAGTTGTCATGTAACTCCAACACCCCCCCCCCCCCTCAAGTTGGAGGGTGGTGCATTCCCAACTTGCTCGATAAGGTGCGATGCTGCAAACCTGTTAAAGACTTAGTAAAAATATCAGCCATTTGAGAAGAAGTAGGAACACGAGACAAAGAAATGAGCCCATCAGCTAACTTGGTACGAATGAAGTGACAATCCACTTTGATATATTTAGTACGCTCATGAAATACGGGATTTTTGGCTATTATTGCAGTCTGGCTGTCACACAGAAGAGGAACAAGAGTAGCAAAAGGGACACCCAGATCAGCCAACAACCTGACAACCCAAGCCAACTCTGCAACCACCTTACTCATGGCTCTGTATTCAGCTTCAACAGAGGATAAAGAAACAATAGGTTGTTTCTTAGAGTTCCAACTAATGAGGTTGCCCCCTAAATGAATGCAAAATCCAGTAACAGACCTCCGAGAGGCTGGACATGCAGCCCAATCACTATCACAGCTAGCTAGCAAAGAGAAATCAGAGGAGTTGTTAAGAAACACCCCATCATCAAGAGTACCCTTCAAGTACCTTAGATGCTGGACAGTGAAGCACAAGTCTGGCCTAGTGTGAGTTAAGTAATTCAGCTTCCCAACCAAGCTCCTATATTTGTCAGGTTGGGGGAACAAATCACCAAGACCAGAATGCAACTTATGTGAATTGTCTAATGAACTAACAACCTCAGAAACATCAGAACAGTTGTATTCAGTAAGCAAATCAGTAATAAACTTCTTTTGATGCAAAACAACACCTGAAAAGTGATAAAAGACCTCAATACACAAAAAGTAATTAAGGACTCCCAAGTTTTTAATTTGCATCCAAGAATGAATTAAGGGCAGAAATCTCAGATAAATCATCTCCTGTTAGTATGATGGCATCTACATAAATAGCAATGTAAACAGTAGAGGACTCAGTCTTCTTAACAAACAATGAATAATCATTCAAAGAGTGAGTGTACCCTCTAGAGCAAAGAGCTTATGATAACTTTGCATATCACTGTCTAGATGCTTGTCTAAGCCCATAAACGGATTTTTGAAGTTTGCATACCAAAGGGGCAGAAGTGGAAGAGGCAGAAGGAATAGAAAGCCCAGGAGGAAGTTTCATGAAGACCTCCTCATCTAGGTCACCATGCGAAAAGGCATATGTTCACATCTAGTTGAAACAGAGGCCATTGCTTCTTAACTGCAACAACAATCAAGCATCTCACAGTGCACATCTTGACAATAGGGGGAATGTTTCATTAAAATCAATCCCTTCTACTTGAGTGTCCCCTCTAACTACCAATCTAGCCTTGAATCTTTCCACACCACCATCAGCTTTATATATAATCTTATAAACCCATTTACAACCTATGGCCTTCTTTCCAATAGGGAGTTCCACAATTTTCCAAGTCTGATTGGCTTCTAGGGCTTCAAACTCTTTCGCCATAGCTTCCTGCCAGGCAGGGCTGACAGCAGCCTGAGTGTAGGAATGAGGTTCTACTGGAACATGTTGTGCAACAGAAAGGGAGGAAGGAGTGGAAGAAGAAAGAGAAGAAGGAAGTTGTACAACATAGTCTCTCAGATGAGATGGTATTTGGTGGGTTCTAGAACTCTTTCTAAGTATAGGAGTATGATGAGTTGGAGGTGCTGACTAAGTAGGGTCAGCAATATGTATTGGGGAAGATGGCTGAACAGGATCAGATGTAGAATGATCAGGTGCAGATGAAACAGTTAGGATAATGACATTAGGACAAGATGATCTAGGAGGAGTAGAACTAGACAAGTCAGAAGGAGCATTAGAAGAGAATATCGGAATAGAAGGAGGTGGAGTAGAGGAAGAAGTAGTAAAGAATACCAATTGATAAGGAACACAGATTCATGAAAAATGACATCTCTGGAGAAATAAACTGACTAAGTATGCAAGTTATATAGCTTATAACCTTTTTTAGCATATGGGTAGCCAATGAAAACACAAGGGGAAACTCTTGGTTAAAACTTGTCCCTATGGCATTTGGGCATAGTGGCATAACATAGACAACCAACAGGTTTCAAGTGGGAGTATGAAGGTGGACTGGCATATAGAACTTCAAATGGTGTCTTATTGGACAAAACTGAAGAGGAAAACCTATTGATAAGGTAGGTTGCTGTTAAGACACAATCACCCCAAAACTTGGTGGGAAGTTTGGATTGAAACAATGAAGCTCTTGAAGTTTAAAGGAGATGCTTGTGTTTTTCTCTACCACCCCATTCTGTTGTGGGGTGTGAGGACAGGTGGTTTGATGAATTATTCCAATTTCAGAGAAGAATTGAAGAGCTGAATTAGAAGACCCAAGTTCTAAGGCAGTATCACTCCTAATGACTTTTATAGGAAGTTGAAATTTGGTTTTGACCATTGCTATAAATGCCTTAATCAAGGTGAAGGCATAGCTTTTGGAGTGCAACAGGTGTGTCCAGATTGCCCTGTTGTAATCATCAACTATAGTAAAAAAATATCTTGCCCCAGAATAGGATTGAGTGTGGTAAGGTCCCCAGGTATCTACATGTATAAGTTGAAAGAGAGTAGTAGAATGAGAAGAGCTATTTGGAAATGACAATCTAGGTTGTCTTGCTAAAGGACAAACAAGACAAATGAAAGATTACTTTGCTGATAAACTAGAGGAAATAGAAGGTATATTTTTCATTTGTGCAAAAGGAATATGACCCAGTCTGTGATGTCAAAGAACATCATTTTTATTTATATGGTGACTATTACAAGTTGGTAATGAAACAAGATTATGAAGAGAATCCAGAACATCTACATTTGCATTCAATGAAAAATCATTTACTTTTGCTATGGTATTAAGGATAGAAACAAGTGAATCAGAAACAACAGGAATATGAGTAGACTGTTTAATACTGTCCATGACATTATGAGAAACAGATGCAGAGTTATCAAAATTATCAGAGATGAGGTGTGCAGGAGAAGTAGATAGGTTGAAGTAGAATTTGTATAGTCCATGGTCCATTTTACCAAGCTCCAAAAACTTCTTCATAGAATGGGCCTGTAGAAGTATACATGAATAAGATGTGAATAAGACATAGCATTTGAATTGAGCAATCAGTTTACTCATCGAAATCAAATTGTAGTGAAAGGTAGGTATGTATAAAACATGATGAAGAGTGAGGGAAGGTAGTAGAGTAAGAGATCCGGTACAAGTGATCTTCATTGTAACCAGTAGGCAAAGAGACTAGATAAGGAATATGTAGAGGAGTAATGTTGAAGAGAAGAGTTTTATTTGAAGTCATATGGTCAGTGGCTCCAGAATCCACTATCCATATCCTTCCAGCTACACTAGTCAACATGCGCACATTAGAATTACCATTCAAACACACAGGCAAGGAAGAGGAACTACCAGCAAAATTTGCAGAACCCATAATGGAAGGTTGAGATGACAATTCATTGAGACCAGATTGCTGAAGAAGACTCATCAATTGAGTATACTGATCTCTAGTTAAACCAGGTACCAGCGAAATCTCAGCATATGAAGGAGTATGATCAGGAACCCAGAAGACTGCCCTTCAACATTAGCAGCAATACCAAACTTTTTACCTTTTGTGAACTTGAAATTCTGGGGAAAACCATGCAACTTATATCATTTTTCAATTGTATGACCAGGCTTCTTGCAGTACTTGCAAAACAGTGAAGCCTTATTGTGATCAGAATTGAATCTCTAACTAGGTTGATCATATTTTAGTTTCTGTGGATATTGTTGCTGAAGTGAGAATTGAGGAAGAAACTTGTTGGAATTTGCATGGAAAGAGGCTGATTCAGAATAAGCTTGTGCATTTGGAAGGACTTGCCTTTGTTTTTCATCTTGTAGAAGTATATTGTAGACATTATCAAGAGAAGGCAACGGGTGCATCATTAGGATATTGCTTCTAACTCCTACATAAACTTCATTTAGACCCATTAGAAATTGATGAACCTTATCTTCTTCCTTTTCTTTTTGGAGACCTTCTTTAGCAGCACAAGCACTAGCATGACTGTTGCGCATAATCTCCAGCTCATCACAAAGTTTCTTAAGTTTATTAAAGTAGGAAGCAACATCTAGAGATCCTTGGTAAGTGGAGGAAAGTTCTCTTTTAATCTCAAAGACTTTTGTCCCTCTAACAGCCCCATATCTTTTATTTAATTGCTTCCAAATACGCTCAGCTATCTCTGAATATTGTACACTCTCAGCAATGTCCGGGGATAAGGAATTGGTCAACCATGATATAACCATGTTGTTACATCTATCCCATTGTCTATACTGAGGAGAGGTCTTAGCAGGTTTAGTGCATGAACCATCTATAAAACCTATTTTATTTTTAGCGGACAGAGAAGCTATCATGTTACGCTTCTAACCCCCAAAACCTGTCCCAGAGAAGGGTACACTAACAAGAGATACGTCCGGGACATCGGAAGGAAGGAGAAACAAGGGACTAGTAGGTTCAAGAACGTAAGGACCAGTATTTGAACTGGAATCACCTATGATTTTCAGAAAGTTACTCAAAAGGAACTAATTTCTAACAACAGCCTATCACCTAACATAACAAAATCAATTGATGTACAGAAATAGGAAAGAGTGTACCAAAACTTCTTCACGACCTGAAGAAGTAAAAGGCCTTGAAGATTACTAAGATTTGAAACCCTAGCTTCGAAGAAAACCTCCAAAAACTCCAATGAATGGATGAATCGTACAAGTCTTCTAGAGATTGACGACACTCCAATGTAATCGACAGCAGAACAAAGAAACCCAGAAGAAAAACTCCGACCGCAAGACCGGCGAAGAACATATGAGAAATTTCGGTGACTAAGGAACTAACACCGCCAGGGGTAACTCCGTTGAGATTAAAAGATGAAGGATCAACGATTTCATGGCTCTGATACCATGTTAAACTCAGAGATTGACCGGATTTGATGAATCCATGGTTAGGGTTTTAGAGAGAGAAACGAGAGCAAAAAATCTGTGTATTGAAATTATGCAAAAGTTGTCTAGAATATTCTCTAACGCCTATTTATATAGTGGGCATGTTATTACAAAGATTATAATTGAACCAGATCCATTAAATAAAGAGAATGGGCCTGTGGCCCAACTAGCTAGATTATCGACTATCTGCAGCCCAAATATGTCCAGTTGTCATGTAACTCCAACAATCTACGGAAAGATTTTTCTCTGATCTTCTCCTCGCTCTAGGATTTGAAGTCCATGGCTCCAATTTCCAATGTTCTTAGCATTGAACTCATTATTTTTTTTTTAAAAAAAAAATAAAATTATGGGTTCAATTTATTAGTTTTGTAGATTTTTACACGTAAAATTATGATGCGCCTCGAAAGTATTGAGTTCAGTTGAACCAGACACTCCTATGTTGCATCCCTTCTTGTCTCCTTGCGCTTCGTAGGACTTGAGGGAATGGAAGTTAATAACACTCATGAATACTGTCAACTCGTTTCCCAAAAAAAGAAGAAGAATACTGTCAAATCAATTAAGCTCGGAATTATTCGTTTAAACATGATAAATCTGGTTAATACAACTTCATCATTTCAGTCAAATAAAATGGCGTTCTATTTTGAATATACTACGTACTAGAATTAACATAAAGCATTTTAGACACTTTTGCAAGATTTTCTTTCTAAGTTTAACTTAAAAGCACTATCATCAATGTGATCATTTGCAAAATATTCTATTTGATTCTACATGTTTCTTAATTCTTGTGACTGTATGAGTATAACATTGACTCTCTAATGTTTTTAGCTCCTCAAAACAAGTGGACACTTACACAATCAACTCCTAATATATTTTAATTTTTTATTCTAGATTTAACAACGGCGAACTTATTTTGTTCTAGAAGTTAGAATTATGACAGTCGTTTACCCAAATTGACGTAATTTGGCTTGTAATAACTCAAAGTTTTTAGATGCTAAGATTCAACAATTATAAATTTGTCTATGTAAATGTTTTGAAACTGTTGCAGGTGACTAATTTATTTATAATCAAATCATGATAATTTATCTGATTATAGATATGAATTAATGCAAAGTCACGTCAACTAATTAGTACTTGAAGGTAATCTTATAAGAAAAGGTAGTCTATTTAATTGTTGAATAATATTAAAAAAAAAAAAGAAGATAAAATTTAAAAAAGCTTTGTCCTTAGATTACAAGTCGAAGTAGATTAGGAAATGTCTGAAGTTGCGACTGACAAAATTGTTTCTTAACAAAACTATATTAAGCATTTCCGGTCGACAGTCAACGACGACGACGGCGAATATGGCAAAGAGAGCGAAATTAGTAAACACAATTCTCTCTACTTCAAATAAAAAATTCACCTTTGGGCTACTCCCTCAGCTCCAATGCCGTAACGCCACCCATTTTCCGGCGACTAACCGACCACCCAAACTCGCTGATCAAATATCCCGTCTTTTGATTCTCCAGCGTTACACCGCCGTAGACAACCTCAAATTTGATTTCTCTGACAACCTCGTCGACGCCGTTCTCGTACAACTCAAACTTCATCCTAACGCTTCGTTGCATTTCTTCAAGTTAGCTTCACGGCATCAGTTTTATAAACCCCATGCAAAATCTTACTGCAAAATAGTTCACATATTATCCAGAGCGAGAATGTTCGATGAGACTAGGTTTTATTTATCCGAGCTTCTGGAACTTTCTAGAAACCAAAAACCTTTGTCGTTAGTTTGGGATGAATTAGTAGCAGTTTATAGAGAGTTCAAATTTTCTCCTACAGTATTCGACATGGTTCTAAAAATTTACGCGAAAAAGGGGTTAGTGAAGAATGCCTTGTACGTGTTTGATAATATGCATAAGTGTGGTCGTGTGCCTAGTTTGAGCTCTTGTAATAGTTTATTGAGTAATTTGGTGAAAAAAGGTGATATTTTTACTGCTTTTTCTGTATATGATCAGATGAATGGGATTGGGATCTCTCCTGATATATATACGTGTACGATAATGGTAAATGCATATTGCAAGGATGGGAAGGTTGATAAAGCTGAGATTTTTATTGATGAAATTGAGAAGATGGGTTTGGAGCTAAGTGTTGTTACTTATCATAGTTTGATCAATGGGTATGTGGAGAAGAAGGATCTCAAGGGTGTCGAAAGAGTGTTGAGGCAAATGAAGGAAAGAAGAATTTCGAGAAATGTGGTTACGTTCACGTTGTTGATTAAGGGTTATTGCATGCTGTGTAAGATGGAGGAAGCTGAGAAAGTGTTCAGAGAAATGAAGGAAGTGGATGAGCAGGCGTATGGCGTGTTAATTGACGGGTTTTGTCAAATAGGGAAAATGGATGATGCCCTTAGGATTCGGGATGAGATGTTGAGATCAGGGTTTAACATGAACTTATTCATTTGTAATTCCTTGATAAATGGTTATTGCAAAGTTGGAAAAATTAGCAACGCGGAACAGATTGTTAGGAGCATGAACGGCTGGAATCTAAAACCTGATTCATATAGCTATCACACCCTTTTAGATGGCTATTGTAGGGAAAGATTGATGCAAAATGCATTCAACCTTTGTGATGAGATGATTCGTGATGGTATCTATCCAACGGTTGTCACTTACAACACTCTCCTGAAAGGACTATGTCAGGAAGGTGCCATTTCTGATGCTTTGCATCTTTGGAATTTGATGCTTAAAAGAGGTCTTGTTCCTAATGCAGTTGGATACAGTACTCTTTTAGATGGATTTCTTAACATGGGAGAATTTGAAAAGGCTTTAGTCCTGTGGAAACATATACTAGCAAGAGGGCACACCAAAAGCAGGATTCTTTTAAATACGATGCTTAAAGGATTCTGTAAGATGGGGAAAATGGCTGAAGCTGAGCTGCTTTTTAACAAAATGGAGGAGCTTGGCTGTTCACCAGATGCAATAACTTACAGGACACTAAGTGATGGGTTTTGTAAAACAGGGGAGATTGAAAAAGCTTTGGAAACAAAGGATGCCATGGAATTGCAAAACATTCCTGCCTCTGTAGAAAGTTATAACTCCCTTATTAGTGGACTTATGAAGGCTGGGAAGTTTGGCAGAGTCGAAGATCTCCTTAATGAAATGCATGACAGGGAATTAACTCCCAACACTGTTACATTTGGAGCCCTTATTGCTGGTTGGTTTAAAGAAGGATTGCCTGAGAAAGCTTTTAAAGCATATTTTGAGATGAGAGAGAAGGGATTGAATCCAAATGTCATCATAGTTAGCTCTATTATTAGTGGATTATACAAACTTGGTAGGACTGATGATGCTAATAAGCTCCTGCAGAAAATGCTGGATGTAAATTTGTACCCTGACCTTAGACGTTTTTACAGTTTTTCAAACTCTAGGACAGAGCTGCTAGATGTGCAGAAAGTTGCGGATTCCCTTGATGGAAGTGCTGCAAAATCTATTGTTCCCAATAATGTCCTGTATAATATAGCTGTGGCAGCGTTATGCAAATCAGGGAAGATCGATGATGCAAGAGATGTTGTAAATTACCTCTCACTAAAAGGCTTTACTCCTGATGAGTTTACCTACTGCACCCTTATCAATGGCATTTCTTTGGCTGGTAAAGTGAATGAAGCTTTTGATTTGCGCGATGAGATGCTAATAAAGGATCTTGTTCCAAATATTGCAGTATACAATGCTCTTATAGATGGCCTTTGTAAAGCAGGCAACCATGAACGAGCATTGAGACTTTTCAATAAGCTTCATTTGAAAGGGTTAGCTCCTAATGTTGTAACTTATAACACTCTGATAGATGGATACTATAAGATTGGTAAGAATAGTGAAGCCGTGCAACTGCTGAAGAGAATAACAGAAGAAGAAATCCTTCAGTCATAAATTATTCCTTCCATTCTGATAAGTTGTCCGTATAAGCAAGGTGATATTCAAGAACCAATGAAACCTTTAAGTTGGACGATAGGAGGCTGGTTCAGACCAGATTTTTGTGAGACAGAGCACAGAGAAGGTAAAAGCATTTTGGGCCATATCGTAGTTTGGTGACCATTATGGTGCTAATTATTTGGTTAAGTAAATTTTTACCACCATCATTGTGCATAATTTGTTAAGCCATAACAGTGTTGGACCATAATTATTGCCATGGATATTCCTCCATTTAGCTTGTGGCAACTATTCATCAATTTCCAAATGCTGAGATGACATGACCTTTGTGTGTTAACTGCATCATGGTCTCTAGTTGAAGACTTAGACTCATGTTTCTACAACTGACCTATCCCTCTTTGACTTTGGAATCATGTCTTTAAATGATTTGCCCTAAGTTTCCCTTAATAATCTCTTTACCCACAGATCATGAGCCCAGAAAATTTTACTCCAGCTGATTACAATACCAGAAATTTGTAGCTGATTAAACCGCTTCCTGGTGGCTCTATGTTATCAGGCCACAATACCTTGTCTCTTTGTCACGGTTTGCTAATTTTAGGACAGCAGTACACAGTAAGAGTCTGTGGAGTAAGGGGGTGTAATTTGGAGAGGAAGGGGAAAATTCTCAGGCTTGCTGTCCCTGGAATGAGCCCCTACATGACCTGGTTGCTTGAATTGATGTATAGACCCAACAACGAATATAATAGACTTCTCAAACTCATCCCATTTGTCTTAAGGCTGAACGATATCTTCAGTTTTTACAACTAAGACAAAAGTCGGAGACCATTATTTCTTACAATCAGTAAGACAAGATCTATTAAAACATCTGGAAAACGAGTGAACTTCCACTCCATTTATTCTACAAGACCTGTCTCACTGGATACTTTTATGATTTTTAAGGCAGTTACATTTAGCAAGATCAAGTCTCAAGTTCTTTATTTAATGCATGAAATTTGACCCCATCTTAGAACTACGATGTGTGAGGATTTATCACCATCTAGTCTGTTATTGGCCCTACTTTCTGCTACTCTACCAGTGGATATTTTTGGTTCTTGCACCTTCTCTCTTTTCTGAATGTCATTTTTTCTCTGCTTGCTTCTTGTCATATAACTACCACAGACTCACCTCCAAGTAAGAGGATGACAAGAAAATAATCTATCAATGTTTTATTCGAAATGTCTGTTTTAGGGGGTTGGGATTGGGAGAAGCTGAATCTTCCCTTGGTGTCCACTTGGTAATTTCTCATAGAAGTGTTGAATGCTGTGATCGTCAATGAGGGAAAACAGCATGTATCTGTCTTATGTTTTCTTTCATTGCTGTTTTAATCTACATTATTATTGTTTTTGTTTTTTCTGCTGAAGTGTATTCTTGTTTTATAATCCAGGAGATGGAATTCAAGATATGTGTTAAAATTTTTACTGCCTTCTACATTCAACTGTTCGTCGGTGCAAGTCGAGGGACATGTGTCTATAAGCTTATAGACTCTATTGCACAGAGCCTTATCAAAAGCTATCAAGTCATGAAAGGTGAATACAATGGTTCTCCTCTGCTATTAAAAGCATTGGCTGATTAATTGGATGAACAGGTCGGCACAAGGGCAAGCTCTGAGTATCTAATCATGAAACTTGTACCTTGTAAAAATGTTATCAACTCAATGTGGACAAGATCATTTTTTGATTCACAGAGCTTCAAGAGCACAGGTAAGGGAAATCCCCAATAAGCATGTGCAGGTCCTTTGATTTGCTTTTCATTCTAGTACTGCTCATGAAGGTTTCAAGCATTTGCAAGCTAATTTCTTCTTTAGGAATCCCTCCACAGAATCCTAAATGAGAAGTCGCTGCTCCACATAAATCTAACTAAACACTTCATACTACGTAGGATTGTATTTTACGAATTATTTTGAAAGGATAAAGATCTCAATAACATTAAAGAAAATTGAAAATGAAATATTTCCCTCCTAGCATGAAGTAACAACTAGCTGTTCCAAATAAATATCTAAGCAAAAAAAGAACTCTTACAAATGCATTTTCAAATACGAAGAAGAAACCAAGAACAACCACGTGAAGAAACATCAACACATTCTTTTTAATCATCAATTAAGAATATAACTAGGACACCTATTAATAACAGTTAATCTTGAAAATCACTGTTCACAATGCGAATTTCTGTGCTATAAGTTTTATATTGCAAACTTCTTGCTTGAACATGTTGACTATGCAATCATTATTGCTAATTGGTTTCCATTTCATTTTCTCCTTTTTCTTCTTTCTCAATAATACTGATTGTGAGAAGTTCTAATTTATGTGTGTAGCTTCTAGGCCTTGTAACCAGGATAAATACAGAATGAACAGATAACAAGGTGAAGGTGAAGTGCAGAAGGACCAGTTTTCCAAGGTATCACTCCTTCGAAGATGTATAAATAGCTATACTTGATTACATGGAAGTGCCCAGTAATTTCCATGCACCTTAATAGTTGTTGGCGCACAGTGCGTGTGTGTGTAACATGCATTAGTTCCACCATGTCATGATTCAGTTCATTGAACTGCATATATGTTAATCAAAATTGACAATGTGATAAGTCTAGTGGCGCTTTCCGGTGAAAAGATGGTTGATATACTTCTCATACTGTTCTTGAACGTGCATTCTGTACGATTATCTCCACATCTAAAGGTTGTTTTCCATTACTATTTGGTTGTGAATCTATAGATACTCTTAATATTGTGTTCCGGCTTTAGGTTCCTGAACTGTTCTATGGTGCTTATGTGTAAGCAGAAAATGGTAAAGCCCTAAGCCGAAGAAGGGTTGTGTTAACTTCTGGCTACTTTTTGTTGGTTTTGACCAGATTGTGACAAGCCAACACCTGCATATTTGGCAAAAAGGTGAAGATTATAAACTATTAAGGGGGTCAGGCTTATGCCCCATATGTGAGAATCTTCGCTGTGCAAGTAAATGTCATTTTGCAATCAATCAGCTTCCAGCTACTTTGAGTTTCAATTTTCAGCCAACCTTCTATTCTCACAATATGGAATAAGTTACGTAAGCATATGACATTCCATATACATCACTTCGCACTTGATGCAGGGGAAGGTGAAGGAGCAAAAGAGATCATTCGATGATGTGTAGCTCGTTTGTCATACCCCTTTAGTGTATTTAAAAAAGTCTAAGAATTTTCATTTGGTACTTTTGTAAGTTCCCCTTATTACTAATTAAGTGTTTGGTTGGCACTTTATTAGTTGAGTTAGGACATTGGTAAAGCTGCCGTAAGGTGTAAAACCTAAATTAGATGTCTAAAAATGTGATGCCTGTGACGAAGGGCGCGCCGATGAGGGCGGGTCAAGCAGGACTGACAGGCTTCTATGCTGGCAAGCTTCTGAAGAAGGGGTGCGCATGTCACCTTAGACGAATCCTACATGGGAATGGGAGTGGAAAGTGAAGAGCTATATAAGGCGTGTCACAAGTTCACATAGTACATGTGCCTTTTGGGCTCGAGTGAGTATCCTAAAAATTTTACATTCCTATGCCATATAGGAAACTATATTACCCTCAATGTTTAAGGTTTGATATAATTACATTTAGTATACCTAATTACCAATTCTATACCATAAGGTGTTTTAACTGTACATTAATTGTACCTTATATCACTCCTAAATTTATGGTACCGTATATTCCTCCAAATCCCCATTCCCCCACGTTTCTCTCTCCCAACCCCACACCCTCACCCACGTATCACCACACACCCAGAAACCAGAAAAACCAGAAAAACAATTGAAACCCTCTGCTAAATCCAGAAAAATAATTGAAACCCTCTACCATTAACGTCCAAAATCAAGGTTTTTTCTTCTACAACCAGTCAAAATTGAAGTCAAATCTTCAAAGTTTCATACACAGCAATAACTTTTGATGGTTATGATATCGGGTTCCTTCAGTAATATAAGAGGAAAGGAAAAGAGAGCAGCAATTCCACCATTGACAGCCATTAAAAAGCTTTGAAGCTTTGAATTCAAATTTGGGTTTTCAAAAATCATTATTTGTTTGGATTGGGTGTTGTTGTAAATAATTGAAAATATGGGTTGGAGTTTATATCTCAATTTTGAGGGGTTTTGGTGAAGATTAGACTTGGTTTTGGCTGAATTTCAGATTGAAATTCGAAGAAGAAGAAGAAGACGTATATTGCAGAAATTGTAGAAACATTGTAGACTGCTGTTTATTTATTTTTGAGCTTTGTGTTTTTGTGTTAAAAGTTCTGATGGGAGCTTGTTATTCCACTTCGTCTGTTTTGGAGCTAACTTGTGCAGAGGAGAAGATGTTTTTTAAGTTATATATATTGCTAAAACTTTAAATTCAAGAAAGTATGGTTGTATTGTATTTAAAGAGGCGTGAATTTGTATAATAGGTTGAATGTGAGGAATGAGTCAAATAAGACTCACAATGGCTTATTTTCTACATTTAATCTACAACAAAACTACATATCATTTGAAAAATTAATATGAAAATACAGAATTTCAATGTTTCTACAAATTATCTACAAAATTTCTTAAGAAGATCTATCCCTTCATCATGTTTTTTTGGATTCCATATTTAGCATAGCAGTTTCGCAAGGAGTAACAAGAGCATATAGGAGAATCACAAAATTGTAGCATAATCGGGATTTTCGACATAATTGCGTTTTTTGCAGAAGATTTGTAGAAGTTTTAGTCGTTTTTGATTTATGAAAATAGAAAACAAAGCATCTACAATCAGAATACAAATAATCTACAATTTATCGACAAAATATCTACAAACTGGGTACATTGAATTTTAATATCCCAATTCCCATTCAATTGTAGCTATAATTTGGGATTTTTCGTCATAATTTGTCGACTTTTTAGCTAGAAGATTTGTAGAAGTTTGTAGTTGTTTTTAGATTTGTGAAAACAGTAAAACAAAGCATCTACATTCAGAATACAAATAATCTACAATTTATCTACAAACTGGTACATTGAATTTTAATATCCCAATTCCCATTCAACTAGTAGTCATAATTCGGATTTTTTGACCATAATTGTGTTTTTTTCAGTAAGATTT